GCAAAGTACGGGGTCCCGGTCATAACGATAAAGATGAACGACGCCCGAGGCGAGCGTCGAACCTCGAGAGTCGCAGAGAGGAATTTAATGTCTTATCAGAAGCTTATCAGAAGCTTAACTAATAGAAAATTTTGATGCCTCTATAACGAAGGTAGAAGATTTGCTACTTTTTCCCGTTATTGCCAACCTAAATTCGACCCAAGACGCATCGGCGAGTTTTATCGCTGATGTTTCCCCACAGGCGCGTGAATCTTAGGATAAGAGAGCGACGAGAGAGACGATAGAGAGAAGGGCTTTCATTTCGCTCTTGCACATACGTATACTAATACTCGATTAGCGAGAGGAATTTGCCAACTACAAACGGATTGGGTGATTCTAAATAGGTTACGATAGATCGACAACAAAAGTGCTTCGCTAAACGACTATCTCTCCCTCTCTCTCTCTCTCTCTCTCTCTCTCTCTCTCCCGTTCTCGCGCGCGCGCGCACTATTATTTCAACGCTACCGCTTCATTGATTGTAAGTAAAAACATTTTTTATGCCCAAGCAGTCCACTAATTTTATTTGAACATGAAAAAAGTGCTGGAAATAACAGTGTGCCGGGGGTGGCGCAATCATAAATAAAGTATTGTTGGAAATTAAATATTCTATAAAATTCATTCGTACAGAGGCAATTTAATGGCGCTTGTATACAATTCTCTTAAGAATCATCGATATAATAGCGAGCGTTATTTCCTTAATTTTGTTTATCATCTCATTATAAGTTGCACATTGACGACGAGAGGGCAAAGAGAAAGATGGTAAAACCCTACTCTGTGCTCTCGGCAACATTCTATTATACTTCACGGGCAAATAAATTTTCTTCCTATAGATACCAATTAATGATTCGCATTGAGAAGAAGCATAAATACAATTTCGTGTCGAGCAGTACTTTCGAGCCCATATACTACAAGTAGAAAACCCCCTGGAAAGGCCGGCCATTAAATGATCAAAGAAAAAGAAAAGTAGCGCTCGGACGGCTCGTGAATTTTCATTATTTGCTAAGGGAATTTAAAGGTTAACGCGTAACGTCCGAGCGAGCCTTGGCTTATTAAATCTGCCGTGGAATGAAAATCACCAATTAAAACTGCCGCCCTGTAACCGACCCCGTTGCTCCTCCTTCCACAATCGAAGCGGCAGCCGAGCCTATGTCAACAAACAAAATGCTCGTATGAGCATCCCTCGGGGATCAGTGCTGTACGCGCATACGTGACTCTTCTGTAACGTTGCTGGTGAGGCGTAGCCGGATCGAAAATGCCAATTGGCCCGTAAGAGCCGTGAAAATTGTAACCACGCCAGCGATTGTGGTGATGCTTGATCATTGTGGTGTGGCTGACAGGTGCCTCGGAACTTATGACAATAATCTAACGTCGGGAGATACATGTGGGCAGTAGAAGAGGTCCAACACTCGCAGAATTCACGATAAAGCCCGCATGGAGAAAGTTTGTACTTTTCGAAATGTTACGCTTAAGTGCACGTTCTGACTAATGTTTTATTAGGTTCTTACTTGGACTAGCTAATTCCACTGCGATGCCTGTTTGTTCATTCATTATTTCACTAGAAAGTGTTTTCGGCCTCTTTACGCTAAAATTTACATGTAGATGTCACGGCAATAATTTATCGTACACGATACAATAGTCGAGTCATAGGTTTATCATTAACAAGATCGTTTTCTAATTTTCTTTCCTCTAGTATATTCTGCTTTCATCAAATACTCCATATTAGTCATTAATGTATATAAGAGCAACGTAATGATTTGTCGGCATTTCGTATATTTCAAAGATTCACAATCTAAGAGCTTAAATCAAATTGTACAAGAAATTGCGTATTAAGATCTGGGATTTTTGAGGACTAGAAGGAGATAATTGACATATCATCTTGCCCAATCCTAATATTATTTAGAATATTAATAGCTGTGGTATATTAGACGAATAATTATCCAGGCAGGAATATCACGCTAAAGTCAACCTTTCATACGTAAAGTGATGACTTAAAGTTTTTAATTTTTATGTCATGTAATTGACAATATTGTACATTTACTGCGTAAAATTTTTATTTTTTTTTTTTTTTTTTTTTTTGACGCCTGAAACTAGTACATTCGTGAGAACGACATATGTTCATGTAATATTTTATTTATAGTTTTAATTAATTTTAAAGTTTTCTTTCAATCGATATTTTAATTAATTTTTCATATTTATGCTATGCGTTTGTTTCGCTCAAATGCTTAAAATTAAAAGATTTTATAAATATCGAAATTATCAATCACATTCATTGTAAATTAATTTTAAAGTACAAATGTATCGAGCTAAACTTATTATCCGCCATCCTAATTAGAGGCAAATTTATATCATTTAGAAAACTTGGCAGATAGGCTTTAGACTTTTAATTAAGTATGATCGTTAATTTTTTTTATGCTTTAATTTCTATCAATTCATTAATAAAATTTGACACGAATCAGTGCGTAACAACAAATGTATCGATTTACACGAGATTTATAGTAATTACAACCATTGTATTATGATTAATTCTTGATTCAAAGTTAGAGAGAAAATGGTAGTATTAAAATAATTAATCGCATAAATAAATAGTAATATGTACATTCGTTTAATTTTAAAAATGTAAATAATGATAACACTAATGCAATGGGCACACGTTATTTCGTGAAATTGCAAAATTTATTTATGTAAATTCTGCATGAAAATATATGAATATCAAAGTACAGTCGACGTGAAACTCTTAAAAATATTATTTAATATAATATGCGATTGTGGATCGTTGAGCTACTGCGAGTCAATAATAACTACCAAATATTCGCAAAGATCCTTAAATAAATAGTCACGCCAACCTACATAAAATACTCGCTAAATTCCCTTTTAATATATATTGTTAAAAAAATATATTAGTAATTATCTTCTACCTCTTTACTAAAGGTATTAATTATTCATTGGGCTTAATTGGACGATAGAGCGTAAAGGAAATATTACGGGTCAGCATCTGTACTTTATCTTAATAAAAGGAGTAAAAAAAATATATATATATATATATATATATATATCGTTAACGACCCGTATTCATAAGAGAGTATATATATTTCTTAAGCGAGCATAGACTCGACGATACGAGGAGGGAATTCGCAAAAAGGGGAATCGCTGTTAGGTATGTAATTCACCTGAGTCGATGCCAATTTCGTATTACGGTAATAATGGAAAATTCAATTGCGTCAGAAATGAGACTGACGGGTCCGACCAGAGAAAGAGAGATAGAGATTGTGTGTGTGTGAAGGAGGGAGGGAGGGTGGGATGGATGGAGGGGGAGCGCATGCTCCGAAATCGCTACGTGGCCGACTATTGGGGTACGTGACTCATTGACGCGATACCTTTGCGCCTCTGATCGACTGGATGGATACACAATGGCGGCGCCTCAGCTCGGGCTTACGTGGCCCATTGGATCTAGGTGTCGGGCCCGTCCAAGATATTAAAGTGGCCTCGAGCAGGTGCTGGCGATCCCCGCGTCTCTGTCTGTCTTACCCCGAGCATCCGAGGGCTCGTGTATGTGCCACTGCCGAGGAACGCGGCCAGCTGACAAGGACGCGGCGAAGGAGAAAAGAAGGACAACGATGAAGATTGCCGATTCGAGAATACGTGCGCGGTGCGGAACCAAGAGCCGATGTGGATAGATCCACAGGCCGATAGGACGGGGGATGGAGGGAGTAAAATAGATTCCGACGGGATATCTGTCCGTTTAATCGAGATATTGAGTGGCGGAGCGAGCTTTGTGCTATTTAATAGTGCTTCCCTCTGGAACTATTGGGGAAGTTTAGAAAATATTGTTTGGCATTATTGTTGGTCGAGCCACTCCCGCGGATACTTAAAAAATTGTCGCCGTCAGACAGGATGGATTCGGCTCTCGTGACTCGTTCCCGTCGATTCGCAAATGGCTTAATGTCGATACACACGCCCCTTAATATTAAAGGCCATTACTCCTCTGACGCAATGAATAATAATACGAGCGCAATGAATCGAATTACAATTATTTTATTTTCGAGCTTATTGTTTATTGGCGCTATTTCGTTAACGTGCCGACATTATGAGTCAGCCTCTCTATTGTGCCCGAGCTTTATTTCTTTGCAAACAATTCAACTTACTGTTAATTAGCATCAATAACTGGCCATACATCATAAAAAAAAAAACAAAAAAAAAACGATTAAATGGTCACGTGTAAGTAAAGTAATAGCGCGAGTAAAGAAATTTAAATATACGCGAGCGCGCGCGTGTGCGCAATGCGCGCAGCAATTGAATGCGTGTAGTTTAAGTGTGTTGGTTGGATTTTAACAAGTCTTAAGATGCATTACGTAGGGGAATTCTTGGCGTAACCCCTCTATGCATTCCAATGCTCGGCTGCCGCTCGATATTTTACCCCGACATCTTAATCTCATTTTGGCGCAAAGAACGATTTCATTTTAATAGTCGATTTGAAAGGAAAATGTAAATTACGTTGCTAAGAAAGTCCCCTGTTTTTCACTCGCGGTAAGCATTAGCATTAATAAACACGTCCAAGTGCTCCAAGTCTAATGTCATTATAAACATTTATCCAACGCAACGTCTGCCTTAAGTTGCCCAACGTTACGACCATCTTTCAACAAAAGCAGCGTAGTGTTAAATCTTTCTGTGATTAAAGATTCTTTCCGCATGGGGAGAGGCAAGAAACGCAGCACAATGGATCTCGCGGATGCCATTACTTAATTATCGAAGCCCTATATCTTCTCCAACGTTTTAATCGACTCGCCGCTCCCGTTAGTGCCCCGCGAGAAAGCGCTCGTGCTGCACGCGCGCACCAGAACAAATTAGGTTAAAATAAATGATTAGGAGTAAGTAAATGAAAATTGCCGGTAATGCGGCTTTAAACGCCGTGCGAACTTGACCGCAGCGATAATTCAAGCGGCGCCTGCCTTCTCGCCACGCGCACCATTGGCCCGCCAATAACAAAATCACTCTCAATCAATGACGGCGCGAGCGGGAGGGAGGGATGGCGGGGGCCAACGACGGCCGGCCTAAGAGAGATGACAATAAATTGCGTCCGCGTCCGTTGGGAAGATCCGCGTCGCGTAGGCGGCACGCGCTACCACATGTCGATGCAGCCGTGCTCGGTCAATGAAAAAGCGCGAGCTGCCCGTAATTGCCGGTGTTAAGCCGTCGGGTCTAGGAGTGGGGAGGGTTGGGGGTGAGAGAAGCGCGCGCGCTCGCATTACGACACGAGCTACACGCGCGTTTTAATTAAACTGCGCCCCGCGGTGGGCTGTCGCATATTTCAGGCGCCTCACGCGCCGAGCCTTTTTATCTCATCGCTGGAGCGTCGTCGAAGCTATATTTACGACTTGGGCCGGCAGGATGAATGGACGATTGGGCGATTGGGGAAGAGGCGGGTGGGCGGACGGGCGGACGGGCGAGATGGGACGAGACAGGGGACTACGGGAAATCACCGGCGCGGTTTTTGCTCAGCGGAGTTCAACGCACTTCATCTGATTTTCCTCCGCGACTCGTTGGGCTAGGCGAGACGAGCCACTGGGAGCGCGTGCGGTCGTCGCTTTTCGGGAAAAAGCTATGCCGAATGAGAATTAGTGAGAATGAGTGAGAATAAGTGGTAGAGAGAGAGAGAGAGAGAGAGAGAGGGGGAGAGAGAGAGAGAGAGAGAGAGAGAAAGAGAGGCGCCGAGTGTCAGTGGCAGAGCAACTTTTTCTTACCGCTGCTTGAGCGAGTGGTGGGCTTTTATTGGACGATGTTGCAAGCGGATGAGCAGGTTTCGAGAGTTCCCGACTCGAGAGCTTCATAATAATGCGAACATAATGGAAATGTTTGATCGCGAAAGCGGCATTGGCGATGCCAAGTACTTCGAGATAAATTCAAATGAACGAATGGCAGTGTATATCATGAACGGGCGCATACTAAAGGAAAAACTTTTTTGGGATGTAAACGGGGGAAAGGGAGTGGGGTGCCCCCTCCCCCCTCCCCAGTCCACCCTGATCATCGCTGCCAGTCAACGAAAATTCCTCGGAACAAGAATTTACGAATCCGAAGTTAGAGTGACATCATTTTATAATTTGGTATTTTCACGCGACGGCAATAACAATGGCTCGAACGCGAGGAATTATGGAGTGCATATTAGTTTTATTCGATGTGCATAATGAAATATGGATATTATCCATACCTCTAATAGCACGAAATGTAATAAAATAATGAAAAAGAAAAAAGCATAAAAAAAAAATTAATAATAATAGCGATATTGTTGAGGAAGAAATTTTTAGGTATCGAATTGCGAAAACGAGATATGTCTATATATTTATGCACAACGTCGCAAAATCGTGATTATTTCTCTTAAAGTTTCAATGACGTGAAATTATCGTGAATACCATTACATCATAAATGATGCAAAGGTTTGCTCTATTGTTAGATTTAGGTCAACTCGGAGCGAACAATTTGCAAACGAACGCAGCCACTTTTAAATAAGACGCTGACTTCCGCGGTTCGAATTTCTCGCTACGAGCCGATGACGAAACTGTCTTCACTCCACAATTATCAGTAAACAGTTTGCGTATTATAGTAATTTATTCCTTTAAGCTCATTAACTTCTCGTCGATCCACTAAATGAACGGAAGAAGCCTCTACTACGGCTCCTACCCCCGACCAATTGAAACGCCATTATTTTGCGTCGCTTGGGGCACACTGTCAATTTTGACAATCGCCGGCAGATAAATAGAGCTCGATTAAAGCGATTGGCGAGCTTATAGCAGCGGGGGCCCCATGGCAACGAGGCTCGAGCTGAGGCTCGATTAATCGCGATAAACTAATCGCGCCACTCACCCGATCTCCGAGATCTCCTCGTAGATGTTCTCCTCGGTGCCGTAACGCGTCACGTACGTATGCCTCTTATGCGGATCCTGACGGTGCTGGTGGAGCTGATAGGCCTGCACTTGCTGATACGCCTGCTGATGCTGCTCTTGCTGCGGTTGCTGCTGCTGCAGCATCTGGTAGTCCTGGGGATGTTGGACGAGCCTGACGAGAGCCGAGGCCGCGGCGCAAGTGGCCGGCGAGTGACTGCGGCTTGGCCCGGGTTCGTAATACGCGTAGGAGTAATCGTGAAGCGGCCTCGGGGAGTGTACCAGCGCCCGGTGCCGATGCTGCTGGTAATGGTGGTGCTCCTGCTGATGATGCTGCGGCAATTGCTGCATGATGCCGGAGCAGGAGGCCACAATGGCCCCGGCACCGTTGTGCGGGGGTGGGTAAGGGGGCGGCGGAGGGAACTCTAGGTTAGCCCGCCGGGACGTTGGGGTGGGCAACGACGCTCCAGCTGCCGTCGCGCCGGCCATCTTCGACGTCGCTACCACCGAGCCGCCACCTGCTCCGCAGCCCAATGTCGAGGAGCTGGCCATCATCGCTCATTTCGGGATGCCTCCGGCTCCCGACCGCCGACACGTGCACGCCATTCCGCTTTCGACGACTCGTTCCTGCGAGCAGAAAAAGAGATACGTGAGTCGCGGACGCGAGCCCAACTCGTCCTGCGCTCTTGGCCAGCCTTTCGGCATCTGCAGTATTCCTCGGCCTTCCCAAACCCAAATCCAAACCCAATTAAGTCGCACTCGCCCATAAAACTGCCCTAGGGCTTTTTCTAACTTTTCATCCAGCTCCCTTACGCAATAGACTATTTTAATCGGGTGACCGTGACGAGAATATTTCAAGTCTTTGCCCATTCGCCAAATTAGCCTTCATCTTTAGATACAACAATTTATGCCGTGGCATTATTGGCTCTTTCTCTTCTTATCATTCGTAACGGCTAGTGGCCGGTTTCACGCCACCATTGGCAAGAAAAGAAGGTAAACAGCGCATTCTTGTTGGCTATAAATAAGAGAAACTTGTGTTAAGATTCAAAGTATGCCGTTACATCAGCCAACTATCGCGTCTCCGCTGCTTAAGCGTAGTTTCAGCATTTTAATCAATAACAGCCAACTCCCCGTCGTATGTTACATATGTTACATATGTTACTCGAATAATCACCGTCTAGTAATATGCTTCAGTGGGACAATTTTAATCCGAGCAGTCTGCGCGGTCCACTTCGAGTGTCTTCGCTGAACAGCGCAATAATAAAATAAAATGATCGTTGACTGCCAACGGGGATGAAACGTGATAAGATCGTCGATAACAGGACGATCGACAGCGGCTAACGAAGCACAAAAACCTCGCCAACTATCACGCATATAAGCAAGTAACCAAACAAGGACCCAATGGCCTTGCCTAAATAACAAAAGCCCCATTCGATATAATAAAAAATAGTGCGCCACGACGATCCATGCGCGCACCGCGCGTTTCCCTAACTCGAGTAAACCCGACAATGAAGAGGAGAGTCGCTTGTCGCTCGCCCTAACACGAAGAGATGCGACGATAGAAAAGCGTTGGGGGGGGGGGGGGGGGGGGGGGGGGGGGGGGGGGGGGGGGGGGGGGGGGGGGGGGGGGTACGTAAGAGAAGCAAAAGGTCGATCGGTAGCGAGGGACAAAGTACGCTTGGTCGAGGAACGAAGTGCTTAATTCGAAAGTAGAATCGGGTGTCGGGTGTTTGTGTGCGGGTCGCAGTTAACCGTGGCGTGTCAATGGTCGTTCGCGCGGATTAATTTACCGAGAAAGTGGACAGATGTGGCAGAGGCGCGTTGCCGATCATCGGACACGCAATGAAAACTTCGCGCACGCGCCTCGAGCGACGCACGCTATCCAGCGTCTCCTCTCATTCTCTGTTAGTGTGCGTTTACGGGCATATGAGTGTGTACCGTACCTACTGTCGGGGAATAATTATGCCGTCACGGAGGGGGGAAGTTCTCGATATTTAAGAGGCACTGTTTTTTCCTCACCCCCCCCCTTACCAACATCGCTATAAATAAACGCGTGGTCGGTTCGCTTTTGCCCCCTCCCATCCTCCTGCCCTCCCCCACGGACCGGCGAACTTTCGCTTTCGTCGAGTCATTTCTTCGGGGCAGGGCCACGTCGCGCGGCGACGATCCTCGACGCTCGAGAATCGCGTGTCTTTTACCGCCAACGAAGGACAAAACCAGCGAGGTCGGGGGAACGCGACTTGACGTAGAAATGACGACCGGATGCCGTGGGAGCAAAAGTCGAAAGGGCCCGACTCGTGTCGTGCCGCTCGAGTTGTTTGTCGCAATTGTACTTTATTCACGCACAATGGGAAAGCGAAATGCTAATTTACGGTTTTTGTATTTCGGCTTTTTAATCTGGCCATCTTGGGGTCTAATGACAATATTGACGATGCTCGGACTTTAAAGTTAAAAATGTTAAATATGAATTGCCTATGTGTGCGGATAAATACCAATACAGATGCTTCATTACGACAATGGGCAAATTAAAAATTGAGAGACGGAATAAGGTACAATGAACAACGATATTTTGACTGAGTATTCTCATTCGTTATAATATGCCAATTCCCGCAAGTATAATAAAGTGTATAAATAGTGGATTAATTATATAGATCGGAACAATATTTGTTTGCATGGCTGTTATGTGATTTTAAAATAATGTTATCTGAAGAAATTTAGAATTTAATACTTTGGAACGACGTGATGACAATGCGAAGTGAAATTAACGATTAGTCCTTAAAATTATCATTATATATTAAAACATATAAATGCCGTGGTTATAATCAATATAAAATGTTGGAAACGTTTAATAAAAGCTTCACGTAGAATTACAAGGGTTTAAAAATTTTTAATTTTCTACTAAATTTCATCAAGTTAAAGTAAACAACAACATACCGCATTCATTCTTAAATAAAAGAGATTTTTATGATTTTTGCAGCATTCAAATTCTCTACTTGAATGGTGCAATTTATGAAAAAATTCATTCTAAATCAAAGCGTACAATCTCATTGAATATTTCTTATATTAAAATTCTATACGAGAAAATGATACTTTTTTTTTTAGTAATTTCTTATCAGTATTTATACATTTCCTCCTCGCGATAATATGCGCAACTCTACGGCTAACAGATAGAAATAAAATGTTTAAGATAAATATAAAGAAATTTATTAATGAAATAATATTGTATATGATCTTTGGGAGGAAAGTTTTTCTTTCTTACGGTATCTGTAAAATCTGATGTCGCGGCTTCGATTACATAAGGATAATAGAATGAAAGTTTGCTCTAGGAATTAACAATGTTTAGACGACAACTTTTAATAGTTTATGTGTAATGTGGTAAATCATACGACAGTGTTAAAAAAAAAAAAAAAAAAAAAAAAAAAAAAAAAAAAAAAAAAAACAGCCGGGATGTCTCAAGGTTTGGAATAAAAAAAGTCAAAATATTCATCAAATTTTGTCCATTATACATACCCGTTTGCGTTGTTAGTGAGTAAATCAAGTGATAAATATTTAAATTGCTTTCACGTGTTAAAGAGTAATCTCCGAAATATACTAGTACGAACAATTTTTATATATAATATGCGGCAGAAAAAGAAAAATTAAGCAAGGCGAGTTCATTACTCAAGTAAAAGGGTTTCGGAATTATGAACCTCGTAGAGCGGACTTCACCTTCTTTTTTCAATACACAACGAGCATACACACACACACACACACACACACACACACACACACACATATATCACTCTCTCTTACTCTCCACTCATTCTCCCGCTAAATGTCGGCTTCTTATCTGTTCAAAGACTCGATAAATTAAAGCGACCCCCTTCCCATACTCTGCGCAACTTATCTCACCCCTTATCATCGGCCTCTATCATTCGAACTGCGGTCTGGTTTCTTTATTCACTCTGCCGATGCTTTCGCTCGCTTCACGCACATTTTCGTCCGATTTTTCCATAGCTGTCGCGAATGGATGCTGAATAGCGGCAGTTTCTTATAATCAATTGTAAATTGTAAATTGTTCTTCGAGGAGTTGGTCGCAAAAAAAGAATAAAAGTGCGTGGCACGTGATAATAGCCTTTTTGTTCGCGGATTAATTCTTCAAGGCGTGTCCGTCTGGTAAGTAAAGACGCGAGTGAGTGGCAATGTTATTACGTAATGCGATAACGGATACGAAGGTGTTCGTGGAATTTGGCTAGGGCAACGCAAAACTCATGCATTGCGAATGTCTTGCGTGGATGTGTTGCTTAGTTGAGAGAATTCATCGAGCTTTAGGTCCAATGTTTTTTTGTTGTTTTTATTTTGTTTTTGTTTTTGTTTTTTGCCAGCATTCGTTGCTTATTTAATTATATGGTGGACGCTTAATACTTGGTGAGACCAAATTTTAAAGCCAATTAAAAACAATTAATTTTATTACTTTTTTTCTTTTCATTTGTTTTTTTTTTTTTTTTTTTAGTTTTAAAACAATTTCGCATTTATGGCATTGTTTATGCCTTAATTTTACAAAATATTATAATATGTAGATATTCATGTTAGCAATTCAGGTATGGTTTGGAAGAATATTAAATTAAAATTTCCAGTCTGTTTAAAATATCACTGTTAACAATAATTGCGAATGAAGAGACGGCGGGCAAGTTACAAAAAAAAAAAAAAAAATATTATCTCAAGTGTCCACCAAAAGTATCATACTCTGCTATCGAAGCTCGCAACTACATGTTTGTATTTTGTAATTGTTACCAAATAACCTCGCCAGGATTCCATTATATCTTAAACAAGATTTTTCCATTTAACGTACACGCGTTGACAGCAGATCAATATCAGCATAATTGCACTTTGTCGAAAATTATTATAATCATTATGCTAAAGTATAACGTAATTAAACGAATGAAACAAGTGAAAAATAATTACTACGACCACGTCTTTCTTTGTATTTTCTCAGACTGTGGTATAGAGAATGTAAGTAGACGCTTAGAAATTTTAAACAGCTGCTTGTCTGCTTTTTGATAGACGCTTGTCTATTAAATACGAACGATATATACATATAATCTGATAGAAAATTGAAAGTCATTTATCTGGTAATTTAATAGACAACGTTTCAGTAGACAAAAGTGTTAAAAGTTTACAGGTATATATTACGTCTTACATATCCAAAATACATAAAAAATAATCAACCTGCAAGGAATATACGGTTAGATGCTGGTGAGTCTCGAATTGACAAAAGACCCTTTCATTTTATTGTATATAACCATCGTAAATCTTATGTCAGTAATGTTCTTCGACATTGACTTGAAAAAATCACTTATCACGATCACTTGCCTTATAATGACACAGAGACGCGCGCGCGCGCGCGCACACACACAAACACAAACACAAACACATCACATATATGTAAGTGATTTTATATTTAATTATCTACAGTTCTCTATCTATCTAAACGTAAACGATATTACGCAACACTAATGCTTATTGCATAAAAATCTATTCCCCCAGTTACTTAATTCATATATTCTCAGTATACACAACGTGTTTTTGTTGTCGGAAGATGAAGCATTAATAACGTTTAGCTTTGAAACACGCATCTAAAAA